GTTCAACAGTCGCACTGAAGGACGAACACCTGTTTGACTATAGGCTGGTTGTCCCTAGCAAACTTTGTTCATGCCAAATCGCATTAAAATGACCCAAGATTCCGATTGCAAGCAAAATGCATGGCGCATCCCAGGAGAAAGATCAACACCGGAAGCCCCGATAAAACCAGTTGTCGCGCCCAACCAATTCGTGGATGTTCTTTCTCGTACAAGTAAACAGTACGGTCCTCAGTTTTGAGATTGTCCCACTTTCGCGGGCTTCACGGTAAGTAATGAAGACGCTGGAGCCCTCATATCTGACAGTTCTGAAGCTTCCCTAGTTGTCCCGTCTATTTTCTGTCATGAGTTCAGTTTTTACACTTCGTTTTTCGTTTTTATAAGTGTTGGATGGTATTAGCATTGAATTACGTGAAGAAGCGATTAGCGAGCCAGAGGCGGCAGGATACCGCTTTCCTGGCATAAAAAGAGCAGGTCCAAAGGACTCATACAGTGATACTGCCAGGAGTCCTTACCTAGGGTGTCGCGTTTTTCTCGCTTTACGTTTTCCCGTGGAAAAAGGGTCTTCCCAGAGGGAAATTGGGAGGGGAGTCGTCGTTTAGGGGATTTTCTCCAGAGAAGGAATTGTCCTGCTTTCAAAGGCACAATAAAAAGCCATTAGGAAAAAGAAAAATAGAAAGAGATGGGAGAGAGGAAACAGATAACCAAGCATAAGCATAACGTATTTATCTCATTCTCCCACATCATCACTCTTTTCCCCTTTCCTTTTTTTCCTTGACGATTTTCTATTTTCCTGAATGACAATCTCTTCAACCTTTTTCTCCATCTTAATTATGGAAAAGACTTGAAAACGCAGAGCCATTGAGAGGATGAGAACGTGTAAGCTATGCATTTGGGGCAAAGGGAAGGGAAAGGGCGCTGTTCGGCTTGGGAGAGGCATTTTGCCTTTTCGCTAGTTCCGTTTGCTGGTTCATTCTAGTTAACCGGTCTCAAACCCTGTAAACTCATCTGAAGCAACGAAAAGGTATAAGTAAGCCACTTTGGTCATATGAATTCACAGGTCTTCACTAGACTTTGCTGTGCACCATTTGGTGCCTCCAACCAAGCCGCATTGCGCGGTAAAGTAATGAAAGAGGGAGATGTGAGAGGGGAAAATAGAACAGCACTATCACAAGGTTGCCAAATCGTGCATGAATCCCTTCGCTTGAGCAATTTGACCCCACATTTTCCTCGTTAAAGAGCTACATTTTCCGGAAACTGTGATGGCCAGTCCGGGTTATGGGAGGCAAAGCGCTTTGCCCGCACCATAGAAACCTTGTGGAAATCGTGCCCTGTTGGAAACCTTGTGAGAATCGTGCCCTGTTGCAATAAGGGATATGGAAATCTCAAAGCTGATCCGGAAACTGACAAGAAGTCCAAATTCAGCGGAGTTCGACTCCATGAAACTCTCCTTCTAGAGCAGTATGTTAAGCGCTGAAGATTCACTCACTTCTTTGGGTGAGACGTTTCCGGGAACCTTCAGCTAGCTCCGAGCAAGTCCAAAGAGCGGGACTGAGCCAAAGCCTCTTTTGTGAAAAAACAGGGGTCTTATAAGTACGATCGCATCAAGTTAGTGGTTATGGGCCAAAAAATCCTCCTCGCGGCAACTAGTTTGCACGTACGGCAGCATGATTACTCATCCTCTCTGCGGCTCATATAAAGTCCGCGCACACGACACCTCTTGCAACGCCTCCTTCACCGCGCAGCCGCAACTCGGACCTCTTGACCACCCCAGACCTAGTAGAGCAAAAACAATTTCTGAAAACTAAGGGAGCAATTTCAGTTTATTTCAGTTAACTTAATAAATAAATAAAAACTTAATTTCAGATGACGAAGACTACGACGTCAACGAAGAAGATGCACCTAGCACCTGGAACAAGGTGAGACACAGGAACTTTGATCTACCATTCAACCCTCCAGACTCTTAGGGCTATTCATTTAGGCTGAGGTTATAACCCCTCGTGACGCCAGCACGCCACAGGATGAAGCAGTCATCTGGTGAGGTGCTTTCATGGAAAATGGAAGACGTCATCGAACAGTCAACCGCAACATCGACGACCACTCCTCTAACAAGGAAACTGCCACGAAAACTCGCCAAAGCAATGTGAGTAGTGCTCTGTTAAGATGTAGTCAGGTAGACTCACTCCCCCCCCCCTCCCGCAAGATG